TTATATTTCTCTTTTATCTGAATGTCTTAAGCACTTGATGTGGATCAGGTTGAGCTTTTTCACGAAATTGTGTATATATGTTTTTTTCACCGCTTTTGATAGTTTAGAAATCAGTTGCAGGTGTTATGCCCAAAAGTGCATGCCTGCCGAAAAATGCATCCCCAGTCGCGGGAGCGCGCCTCGCTCTGTTGAACTGCATATCGACGAGGAAAACGGATTAAAATATGTTCAATGGAGCTTAGGTTCTTATATTAATGATATAAAAACGTTTAAAAATACCTCTCGTGGGAAAAAAGTTGTGGTTATTTGGCAGATTAATTTACAAAAGTACGGATTTTTTGAACAACATTAAATCCAAAGATTTTGACCATGGTACGGCTGATTTATTTGTTGTGGTCTCTTGCTATTTACACACAACACTAAACCGTGATAGCCGACGTGAGTTTTGAGTTTGCAAAGCTTTCTCTTAAGTGGAAAATCAAACGCGCATCTACATAGCACAGCGTTCACAGACCAGTGAGATGCGTTCGCTGCGCGTCAGAAAGCTATGGTGCATTCAGGAGCATTGGAACATTTTAAACTTACAAGAATGAGGCATAAAACAGAACTGTATTTTTACTGAACTGTATGGTATTTTTTTTGTTTGTTTGTTTATGCACATCTGCTAGCTTTTTATTCTAAAAAATCTATAATATTACAGCAGCAATTTATCAAGGTTTTTCAAAATCCTGTTTAAAAGCTCCAAATGGGGCTTCAGATCATATGAAGCAACAATTGCACTGTCATTGTTTTACAGGGCAGAATTTGCATTTGCTGATCCTTGTACTTAATTACTGATGAATATACAGGAATACAGACGTACAAGTGTCAACTCCTCTGAGATAGCAGGGGATGCAGTTTTTGGCAAGGACCTGCCACAAAATGCATCCCCCTTGTTTTTAACCTAAGAATTGTCCTACACACATGAAATTCACACTAGTACCTCAGCACACACGTGGAAGCAGGTAGAATTTGTCACATCAGCTACAAATCTATATTTCTGGAAAAAAGCAGGGGATGCAATTTTTGGCAAGGACCTGCCAAAAAATGCATCCCCCTTGTTTTTAACTTAAAGATTGTCCCACACACATGAAACTCACACTGGTACCTCAGCACACATGTGGAAGCAGGTAGAAATTGAAACATCAGCTACAACTGTATATTTCTGGAAAAAAGCAGGGGATGCAATTTTTGGCAAGGACCTACCGTTTAGGAAATCAAGATTTACATCTTACATCCAACCTAAATGTAAACTTTTACCTTACATTTGCATTTCACCTTTTTGGGTTTGGAAAACAAAACCATTTGCAAACACAGTAATGTAGTTCTTTTGTGCTATTTACTTTATTCTTAGTGTATTATATATCAAAAAAAGTTTTACAGTTCAATCTAACAACATTAAACAGGTTTGAACATTTTTGAAGTACCTTCGAAACACAACTTAATTTGGAACAGTGAAAAGCAAAAAATAATTTAAAGGAACTTAAATTAAATAATGTTTAAGTCGAACTATTTTCTTCAAACTTGTTTTTTTTTTTTAACAACAGTTGAAAACTAAAAGCACAGTGGACAGCAATACTCAGTGTCAGGTGGTGGGTTGTTGACACAGCCCTGGTGGTACCACCTGTTGCATCCGTCACAGGCAATCTGAAATGGACAAGATTCAAATAGGATTACTAATAGCATTGATACATGTTACAATTAGCATTTAATAACATGGATACATGATGTATGTGCGTCCGTGTATGATGTATGAGGTGTGGGTGAGAGAGTGTGTGTATATATATTTTGAAACACATTAGCTTTTGTTTAAATGTAAAGTCTGATGCTAGTTGAGACCAATAGCTGTTTGTAAAAGCCCATGGATAAGAAACTTTATTTCTATTTCAAGGTATCTTGCAGGCATTCTTGGTCAGTATAGGTGAAGCTGGTTTTATGTAATCTTCTATTACACATAAAGCTCAAAAGAAGGTTAGAAATTTAATTTGATTCAGCTTAATTTGATTTATATAACTCCCTTTAACCTCCAGTAGAACCAGAACTAGGCTCAGTATTAACGGTCATCTGCCTCGACCGACTGAGGGTTAGAGAAGACAGAGCAGAGACACAACAAGAGAGACAAACAAGCACAGAAGCGCACATTGATCCAGGAGTACTTTATGTTTTATATGGTGTTAGTGGATGATCTGCTTCCCCTCAATTATGTCACAGCTAAACAAACATCAAACCAGGTGTACCCACTATGAAGAGAAAAAAGACAGAGAAATAAAAGAGCAATGTTTAATTAAGCTTAAACTGTTGTTAATTCAGAAAGGTCTACTGGGGCAAAACAGTCCAAACAATAATCAGCTTTAAAGATTTCTCCACTAGTTCCCAAACGTAAGGCATTGATTTATGTCTTTCATTACTGTACAAACTGATTAATCCAGCTGTGTTTGGCTATTGTTATTGTGGTTGCTGAGGCCACACACACCTGAATTAAACAGTTAGTCCTGTAACAAAAGACGGGCAATAACATTGCTGCCATCTGATGGCCATTTCTGTCTTAATGAGGAAATTAAAAGGGGGAGTGAATCTTTACAGCTTAATTCAGCATTGTCATATAAGGATCTACTGTAAGGAAACCTTGTTAGGTGGGCGAAGAAATCAAAGACTATTTAAAAAAATTGTCTGATAGGACAGGGCTGTGAGGAAATACTAATAATTATTCACAATCAATGTCATAACCCAGTACAAGGTACAAAGTATGCAGGTAGTAGTGTCAGTTTATTCACAACAGGAGAAAAACTAATGGACTCTGGGAATGGTTTTAAAGGAAACTTTAATTTTATCAAATTCAGTACCAACATTATTGTTTTGATTCCTCACTATAATAATCTTGTCCGTGTTTACACTAAATCAGGTCTGAGAACTGATCTAAACAAAAGAGGGTCGTTGTAGTTATTAATTGGCCGGGTACAAATTAAGAAATCAGTATGAAAGATGTTTACCTAGTCCTCCTCATGCTTTAGTTCTGGGAATGGTGAAATGTACATAATTAGAGGGAGTTCACTCATTTATACTAACCTATTCCTCTCACAGCAATGTTTCTGTGAGAAAGAATAAATCCATATGATTGTCCGTAATAAATTGATTAACCAAAATAGTCTGTGAAGTTGTACTATGTTGATGTGTATTAAAAGTCTTATATGTAAAAAGTGTTGATCTGTCGACACTAAATGTTACTGTACAAAAAAAATTGATTCAAACTGCAAATGGTTGCATCATAATGTATTAAGAATTTGCTTAATTTAGCTAATTAAACTCCTTTGGAATTAATTTTGTATGTTTACAGCAATTTCTTTAATTCCATTTTAACCCATTAAATGTACTTACCCACAGAGGATCAGGCAGGTCCTTGCCAAAAATTGCATCCCCTGCTTTTTTCCAGAAATATAGATTTGTAGCTGATGTGACAAATTCTACCTGCTTCCACATGTGTGCTGAGGTACCAGTGTGAATTTCATGTGTGTAGGACAATTCTTAGGTTAAAAACAAGGGGGATGCATTTTGTGGCAGGTCCTTGGCAAAAATTGCATCCCCTGCTTTTTTCCAGAAATATAGATTTGTAGCTGATGTTTCAATTTCTACCTGCTTCCACATGTGTGCTGAGGTACCAGTGTGAGTTTCATGTGTGTAGGACAATTCTTAGGTTAAAAACAAGGGGGATGCATTTTGTGGCAGGTCCTTGCCAAAAATTGCATCCCCTGCTTTTTTCCAGAAATATAGATTTGTAGCTGATGTGACAAATTCTACCTGCTTCCACGTGTGTGCTGAGGTACTAGTGTGAATTTCATGTGTGTAGGACAATTCTTAGGTTAAAAACAAGGGGGATGCATTTTGTGGCAGGTCCTTGCCAAAAACTGCATCCCCTGCTATCTCAGAGGAGTTGACACTTGTACGTCTGTATTCCTGTATATTCATCAGTAATTAAGTACAAGGATCAGCAAATGCAAATTCTGCCCTGTAAAACAATGACAGTGTAATTGTTGCTTCATATGATCTGAAGCCCCATTTGGAGCTTTTAAACAGGATTTTGAAAAACCTTGATAAATTGCTGCTGTAATATTATAGATTTTTTAGAATAAAAAGCTAGCAGATGTGCATAAACAAACAAACAAAAAAAATACCATACAGTTCAGTAAAAATACAGTTCTGTTTTATGCCTCATTCTTGTAAGTTTAAAATGTTCCAATGCTCCTGAATGCACCATAGCTTTCTGACGCGCAGCGAACGCATCTCACTGGTCTGTGAACGCTGTGCTATGTAGATGCGCGTTTGATTTTCCACTTAAGAGAAAGCTTTGCAAACTCAAAACTCACGTCGGCTATCACGGTTTAGTGTTGTGTGTAAATAGCAAGAGACCACAACAAATAAATCAGCCGTACCATGGTCAAAATCTTTGGATTTAATGTTGTTCAAAAAATCCGTACTTTTGTAAATTAATCTGCCAAATAACCACAACTTTTTTCCCACGAGAGGTATTTTTAAACGTTTTTATATCATTAATATAAGAACCTAAGCTCCATTGAACATATTTTAATCCGTTTTCCTCGTCGATATGCAGTTCAACAGAGCGAGGCGCGCTCCCGCGACTGGGGATGCATTTTTCGGCAGGCATGCACTTTTGGGCATAACACCGGACTGAGGTTAAATCTGTTTATGGGCGGAGTTTAGCAAACTAAGCAGAGAGAATAATGATTTAGAGTGTCCGATGGGTACCAACTACTGTAACCAAACTATATTATGGGATAAAATGCACTAATTGATACTTAGAAAGAGAGATGGTTTATTATTTAATAAATTATAAATTATTTATTTACAAAATTCAACACATGTAATATGAGGATTTATATTAAAAGCTTTCAGTTTGAAAGTTTGAAGGTTACCGTTAGAGCCGCCAGGATGCGCATGCGCACTTGCTCTTGTTTAAGTGACAACAGAGCGCGGTAACAGCCGACCAAAACCAGCTCGCCCTTCATGCTTTTGTTGCAAATAAATACATTTGACATTTTCTCGGTTTGTCGCAGAGCCACCGGAGCGGGCGCGCGCCTGAGTCCTACAGCTGCTGGATGATTGTCCGAAGCTAACAGCAGCAATATGGCGCACTGGAGCACGTTCGAGAAGGAGACGGAGAAAGAGACGAAGAAGCTGATCGGATGTATCAGTGGGATCCAAGACGAGGAAGACCAGAACTTCCAAATGGCGCTGAAGTTCGCCTGGTCAAATTTCAAGTGAGTTGGTCACCTGCTGGTTGGTGTGGAGCTAGCCTGTTAGCAGGTTAGCTAGCTACATGGTGATGCTAAGTCTGAGCACCTCTGCTCTTCTGGCAGGTTTCATCGGTATTTGGATGCTGACAGTCATAAAATCAAACGCTCTATCAATGGGTGAGTGCTGGAAGACATTTCCCTCTATCCTTCCCTTTAGGTAGGAAGATGTTTTTCATTATTTTCCTTTCCTACACAGTCTGAAAGATATATGGTTTTAATTTATTGAATATACAGGTGCTGGTCATAAAATTAGAATATCATGAAAAAGTAGATTGATTTCAGTAATTCCATTTAAAAAGTGAAACTTGTATATTATATTCATACATTACATACAAACTCATATATTTCAGATGTTTATTTTGTTTAATTTTGATGATTACAAATGTCAACAAATGAAAATCTCAAATTCATCATATCAGAAAATTAGAATATTGTGAAAAGGTTCAAAATTGATGGCCCCTGGTGCCACACTCTAATCAGCTAATTAACTCAAACCACCTGCAAAAGCCTTTAAATGGTCTTTCAGTCTAGTTCTATAGGCTACACAATCATGGGGAAGACTGCTGACTTGACAGTTGTCCAAAAGACGACCATCGACACCTTGCACAAGGAGGGCAAGACACAAAAGGTCATCGCTAAAGAGGCTGGCTGTTCACAGAGCTCAGTGTCCAAGCACATTAATAGAGAGGCGAAGGGAAGGAAAAGATGTGGTCGAAAAAAGTGTACAAGCAAGAGAGATAACCGCACCCTGGAGAGGATTGTGAAACAAAACCCCTTCAAAAATGTGGGGGAGATTCACAAAGAGTGGACTGCAGCTGGAGTGAGTGCTTCAAGAACCACCACACACAGACGTATGAAAGACATGGGTTTCTGCTGTCGCATTCCTTGTGTCAAGCCACTCTTGAACCACAGACAGCGTCAGAAGCGTCTTGCCTGGGCTAAAGAGAAACAGGACTGGACTGCTGGTGAGTGGTCCAAAGTCATGTTCTCTGATGAAAGTAAATTTTGCATTTCCCTTGGAAATCAAGGTCCCAGAGTCTGGAGGAAAAGAAGAGAGGCACTTCATCCACGTTGCTTGAAGTCCAGTGTAAAGTTTCCACAGTCAGTGATGGTTTGGGGTGCCATGTCATCTGCTGGTGTTGGTCCATTGTGTTTTCTGAGGTCCAGGGTCAACGCAGCCACATACCAGGAAGTTTTAGAGCACTTCATGCTTCCTGCAGCTGACCAACTTTTTGGAGATGCAGATTTCATTTTCCAACAGGACTTGGCACCTGCACACAGTGCCAAAGCTACCAGTACCTGGTTGAAGGACCATGGTATCCCTGTTCTTAATTGGCCAGCAAACTCTCCTGACCTTAACCCCATAGAAAATCTATGGGGTATTGTGAAGAAGAAGATGCAATACACCAGACCCAACAATTCAGAAGAGCTAAAAGCCACTATTAGAGCAACCTGGGCTATCATAACACCTGAGCAGTGCCACAGACTGATCGACTCCATGCCACGCCGCATTGCTGCAGTAATACAGGCCAAAGGAGGCCCAACTAAATACTGAGTGCTGTACATGCTCATACTTTTCATGTTCATACTTTTCAGTTGGCCAACATTTCTATAAATCCTTTGTTTTTATTGGTCTTCAGTAATATTCTAATTTTCTGATATGATGAATTTGAGATTTTCATTTGTTGTCATTTGTAATCATCAAAATTAAACAAAATAAACATCTGAAATATATGAGTTTGTATGTAATGTATGAATATAATATACAAGTTTCACTTTTTAAATGGAATTACTGAAATCAATCTACTTTTTCATGATATTCTAATTTTATGACCAGCACCTGTATTAGTCTCCCTCAGTATGCAGCAGGAATTCAACCACATTTCCTGCTGTTAAATGTTCTTTTCAAGGGTTGGTCAAGATATAAATATCTGCATTAACCCTTGTGTGGTGTTTATATTGTTGTTACTCATCCAGTGTTTGTGGACCTGTTGCATTTTATGGTTTTTAATGCCTCACTATCACTCAACAGATGTTTACTTCATCCTAATTTTAAGTTCCTTAATAAAATATGGGGTTAATATTTGTCATTTACCTTTTTAAGATAACATTTATTATCTTTTATTTAAAATTTATTTTTTAAGGTCATGCTGTCATTTATTATAGTTTACAAATTATCAAAGATGAGCTGAACTAACTGGAATTTAGTCAGACATTAGTCATTTTTATAGGTTAGTAAAGATCCTAATCTAATAACTCCACCAATAGAAAAAAAACCCCTCCTGAATATGGAAGTAAAACATCCTCATTGAAAACTGCCTTTTTTTGTACACTGAATTTCAAACACTGCATTTTTTTTAGCACTTAATTGAATTCCTTATACTGAATGTTTATCTGCAAAAAATTCAGCTGCAATAATTTCCCTGCAAAAAAAAATGTCCCTGCAAAAAAATTGTTTGCAATAATTCAGCTTCCAAAAATTTGCCTACAAATATTCAGCTGCAATAATTCACCTGCAAAAAATTTTGCCTGCAAAAATTCAGTTGCAATAATTAGCCTGCAAAACATTAGCCTGCAAAAAATTAGCCTACAAAACATTTGCCTGCAAAAAATTGCCTGCAAAAAAATTTAGCTGCAAGAAATTCAGCTTTTGGTGAACTCAAGCCAAAGCAAGCTACACTCGATGCAGTCGAGCATCTTCTAGCCAACGAAATGAACTAATTTTGTCAGAAAAAAAAAGGAAGTTTGCCACTGGCTGCTTCTTTCGGCTCAAACCAAAAGCCTTGGCAGACAGGGGTGCTGCACTAGCTGTGATTGGCTGTTATTTCACCCACTGATTAGATGAAAAACTAATGATGACTGTCTATTAGAAGCTACCTTACGTTTAGTAATCATATCTATTAAACAAGAAAATCTCTTAATTCAGCTTCAGTTGTGTCACATGACCAAATTAGCTCATTTCATTGGCTAGAAGCTGCTCGACTGCATCAAGTGTCGATTGGTTTGGCTTGAATTCATCAAAAGGTCAACACATTTGCAGCTGAGTTTTTAGCAGCTCAATTTTTTGCAGGCAGATTTTTACCAGATATAAATTCAGTGTAAGGAATTCAATTAGTAAAAAAAAATTATGTTTAGAATTCGGTGTACAAAAAAAAAGGCAGATTCCAATGAGATTGTTTTCATCCATACCTGGATCAGAAGTTTGTGAGAAACTTATTGAAGTCCTAGGGTTTGTGAACTCACCTCACCATGAAGTAGAGATGCTGATACTCTGATCAGATATTGGGTCCAATATTGATTGGATATCAAGCTGAATATCAAATGAATGACCTAGATACAGCATTCCCACCCTGTCATTTTTATTTTAATGTATATTTACCACTGATTACATCATTGCGCAGAATACATAGGCAGCTAGTGAGGATTTATATCTGTATAAATGTATTACCTTTTTTTTGACGTTTATTTCAAGCCTGAAGCCTTCACTTGCGTGGAAATATATACGGTTAATCAGAGCCGTATGCAGGGCCCAGAAAATACTGAGGTTTACAGCCAGAACTTCTAGGCGGCATGAGACAGAAACGGCAGTGCCAAAAAATGGAAAACAATCCACTGGACTTTGTTTCCAAGTTTGATAACATTTCGCTTCCCATCCAGGATGGTTTTTCAATTCAAAATGTCAGAAATAGCATTGAGTTCCTGACATTTTGAATTGAAAAGGCTTCCTGGATGGGAAGTGAAACGTCTTCAAACTTGGAAACCAAGTGCAGTGGATTGTTTTTTTGTTTTTTTTTTGGAATGACTTTGACCTGGTTGACTGAGAAGCTTCACCAGCATATTTACCTCCTGCTTAAATCGTCCCATCCATCAGTGGAACCTTTTATGCCTAATCTAACCTTCACCAGCATAGAAACAGCAGTGGTACTTCCATTATCATGCGTTGTGGGGGGGAGCAGTGTGCTTGTGCTCTGAGAAGCGTGCAAGTACCTGGTGCGATCACCACAGCCTCCATTCTGTGTTCCTGAGCAAAACCGTTAACCCCTCACTTCTCCCCAGGCACCACACAATGGCAGCCCACTGCTCCCCAAGGGGACGGGTCAAAACATAGAGTGAATTTCCCCATTGGGGGTCAATTAAAGGAATTTACATTGGTTTTCCTCCCTATCCTGTTTTTTCTTTATTGAAGAGTATCAACACAGTAAAGTACTAAACTAACATACAATCACCGGCCACTTTATTAGGTACCCCATGCCAGTAACAGGTTGGACCCCCTTTTGCCTTCAGAACTGCCTCAATTCTTCGTGGCATAGATTCAACAAGGTGCTGGAAGCATTCCTCAGGGAGTTTGGTCCATATTGACATGATGGCATCACACAGTTGCCACAGATTTGTCGGCTGCACATCCATGATGCGAATCTCCCGTTCCACCACATCCCAAAGATGCTCTATTGGATTGAGATCTGGTGACTGTGGAGGCCATTTGAGTACAGTGAACTCATTGTCATGTTCAAGAAACCAGTCTGAGATGATTCCAGCTTTATGACATGGCGCATTATCCTGCTGAAAGTAGCCATCAGAAGTTGGGTACATTGTGGTCATAAAGGGATGGACATGGTCAGCAACAATACTCAGGTAGGCTGTGGCGTTGCAACGATGCTCAATTGGTACCAAGGGGCCCAAAGAGTGCCAAGAAAATATTCCCCACACCATGACACCACCACCACCAGCCTGAACCGTTGATACAAGGCAGGATGGATCCATGCTTTCATGTTGTAGACGCCAAATTCTGACCCTACCATCCGAATGTCGCAGCAGAAATCGAGACTCATCAGACCAGGCAATGTTTTTCCAATCTTCTATTGTCCAATTTCGATGAGCTTGTGCAAATTGTAGCCTCAGTTTCCTGTTCTTAGCTGAAAGGAGTGGCACCCGGTGTGGTCTTCTGCTGCTGTAGCCCATCTGCCTCAAAGTTCGACGTACTGTGCGTTCAGAGATGCCCTTCTGCCCACCTTGGTTGTAACGGGTGGTTATTTGAGTCACTGTTGCCCTTCTATCAGCTCCAACCAGTCTGGCCATTCTCCTCTGACCTCTGGCATCAACAAGGCATTTCCGCCCAC